CCAAGTGGATTGTCTATGAAGAACTTTATTTTATTAAACTTGCGCCTTTCTTACTAAATTTTGTTAACTTTTCCAAATTTTAGAATTTCCAAGGCCATGGACTCTTGAGAGTTCCATCAGCAAGTTCTCCAAGTTCTTCATTGCCAAACACATCACAAGGTATGCAACCCTCCAACCAGCCATGGTTGCCATCTACATCACAAGGAAAACCACCACTTCCAACACCTTCATATAGACCACAGGCAAACTCACCTGCTTTGCAGCAAAGATCACATATCCCTCAACAACAGAACCATCCCTTACCTCCAGCTTCTCAGCAACAGCAAATTTCATCAACCCCTCAGCAACAACCTGCACAATCACATCAGCAGCAAGAGCATTTTGCACAACAGTTTCAACCATCAAGGAGTTCACAAGGCTTACCACATCAACAACAGGCTGCAAGAGCTCAGGGGCCAGCAAACCCGAAGGCTTCTCCTCTTGCACCTTCACAAACTAGTAATACACAGCCAATGTCCCAGAGCAGAGCTGTAAGCGCAGAAACTGAAGAACCCTGTAGTAGAATTCTCAGCAAAAGAAGTATTGGCGAATTGGTTAACCAGGTTAGTAATTAGCTTTTCTTTTCTTGTCAAGTTTGTTGGTGACAATAATTTGGATTATGGTGCATAGTTGATAGGATAGAGATTAAATAATTTCTGAAGTCAAATATGCTCTTCACTTATTTCATGCAAATTTTATTCGCCTTTAATTTTGGTGTTGGGTCTCCAGCCCTATATTTTACTTCTGATTTATGGTACTTTCTTTGCGCAGATTGATCCATCTGAAAGATTGGATCCTGAAGTGGAAGATTTACTTGTTGATCTAGCAGAAGAGTTTGTTGAATCAGTGAGTAATTAAATTTAACGTTATGTTCATTAGAATATTTTATAGTTTCTCATTATTATTATTCCTTAATCGCTCCAATGGATTAGATTTTGGTTTTTCACTCTTAAGGATCTCATTTTACCCAACGAGGAAGAGAAATGGACTATCCTCTTAAATGGGTTATAAGAAAGGATGGATTGGAAATCATTCTTCAAAATTCATTAATGTTTTGAACTGCGTTATTAATAGTTTTCCGTACTTAAGTCACTGATAGGAATTCTATTAGGTATAATTAGACATTTTAAGGTATAATAGTAATTAGTTAGGGAAGTTGTTAGGGTGATTGTTATTTAATAGAGGAGGTGGAAAAGGATGAAGGTAGAGAATTGTTTAATTGATTGATTCAGACTTGAGTGGTTTCTCAAGAGGGGAGGTTCCAAGTGTCTCAAAACATGGGGGAGTCATTGAATTCCATTATCTTTTATATTTCACTATATTAGGGTTCTATCAGTCTTAAGCTACGTTGTTGTTGTTCCAAGGTTTTGTTGGATGTTTGAGTATATTAGATATTGGATGCCCAAGGATGTTCAATGTTGGATAGTGGGTTTGGTTGTTCCTACAATCCCAAGAGATGTACAGGAATCATAAATGGCAACGTTAACTTTCAAATCATGTGTAGCTAGTATTTTCTCATGATAAATTGAATATTTCATTACGTGTAGTTTAAATTAACATAATTATTTATCTACTACCTATTGGCTATCGTCAGCAAAAGGAGGAGATAGAATAGAGGGAGAGAGAAAGTGGGGTCCTTTTGAATCCTTTGAAGCTATCCCATCAAGTCCCTTGAATTTCAATGGGAATGGACAATGCATTTTAAGATTAAGAGTGGTGGTTTTATGATGCAAGACATGCCAAGGTGTCGAAACTACCGAAGCAAGAGACCAATTGAGACTTGAACTTGGGGTGGATGAAAAGATATTCATAATAAAAATAGTATGCCTTTAAGAAACTCTCATTCAAGCATATAAATGTTGCAACATATAAAATGATGATAGGAATTTTCCAACCATATTAAGTAATATCATACTTAATTTTGCGCCAGTTTTGTTCTGAAAGGAATCTCCATAGCCATTAGCTATTTTATTGAGAAGAGCAATGTTTTTGTATTCAATATGTTGGTCAATGCCAAGGGAGCCCTTTAGATTTAAGAAGGCTAACTTTTCTCCAAAGAACAAAATGGGATTCCCGAGAGGCATAAATCTAGTAAGGGACCAGATATCCTCCCAAGGTAATCCTCATTTGAGGTTTGGGAACCCAAGAAAAGGAACCCCCTTCACTTGAGGCATCTTCGTAAAAGATATTTCTTATAATCTTTTCAAAATGGCAAAGCTGTTCACCACTGAACTGATTTTGGCATATTGAATAGGGGCATGTAATAATTGAGTGGTTGCATATATATATATATATATATATATCCACCTATGATGCTTCTGAAATGTTCTTTGAAGGTTAATACCATTGTAAAAAGTTATTTTAAGGTCTTACTTAAATTTTTTGAGGGTGCATCTGAAAAATAGCGAATATTTGGAATCGATCAATTTGGACTCTGTTGAATCATTTGAGGATGCGTCTGATATGTTCATGTTGCTATACTTCCCCTTGGCTTGTAATTAATTAATACATTTTCTGGTTGTTTGTGCAGATTACGACATTTGGTTGCTCATTAGCAAAGCATCGCAAATCAACCACATTGGAAGCAAAAGACATCCTTCTACATCTTGGTTGGTTATTTGCTACCGGACAGCCAATAGCTATGTTTAAGACTCGAATCTTACAAATATATTGTTTGCTCATTATTGACTCTCTCTTCTACTTCTATGCAGAAAAAAACTGGAATATAACACTTCCTGGGTTTTGTAGTGACGAGATTAAGATATTCAGAAAACCGGTACATATATAATTGGTGGCAGTTGTGCTAATAACTTTCTTCTTGTCAATGGTGGTCAAGCCTTAAAGAATTGAACTTTCTTTCCTCATAAAATTTATCTGAAATTTTTGCAGCTTACAAATGATACTCATAGAGAGCGTCTTGCAGCAGTGAGTGGCCCCTCTCTATTATTAATGGCACTTTTGAAATGTGATGTTACGGTTCATTCAATGTCAAATCCTGTTTTTTCCTGGCAGGTCAAAAAGTCTATTGTGGCAAGTGAGATGGCAAGTACCAGGAGTTCTGCCGGACAGGCCGCTGGAAATACCAAAAGCAGTCTGGCAAAAACACCTGCAGTTTAGCATGCTCACCAGAAGCTCCAGCTATGTGAATTTGTATGAGGTATATACTGATGGTACTGGAATCGAGAAGGTATGCAAGTTGTTTGTGGCTAGCATATAAATCGTGTATCAGCAGGTGCTGATAATTTGTAACTTGTATTGACATACAGGAAGTGTCATGATTTTCGACAATGAAATATTGAAGATTGAGAATTGCTCCATTGCACGTCTGTAAAGGTAGAGAGGCTAATGGTTTGTTCAATACCCTTAATCTTTAATTTGTCAAAAGGATAAGGTTGGAGAATCATTTTGACACTGTTCTGGCTACTCTAATCTTGAAAAGATATTTTTGTTAACTTGTGCAAATTTTTTAGTGAATTATGTTATTTTGCTTTGAGAATATGACTGCTTTAGTGGCTCTGACAATTGATCCAGAATTAGTTAGTCTGTTGCCGGCAGGACATGCCTCGACTTCAAAGGAGGTTATCAAGGATGTAAGTATTGAGTAGGTCATTTATTCATCAATTCATTTTAATGTAGGAACAATCAGATAGTTCGGTATGGTGGTTCATCATTTACTTAAACAATAAGCATGAAAGTATATGAGAAGTGGGTCTATACGTTTATGAATTCGATGGTTCAGGGTCATTATATTATATAATCATCTGAAATTTTGAGGGGTGAGATTTCACTATACAAAGAAGACAATATATGTAGTGGTGGGCTTGGGTTGTTACAAATGATAACATAGCCAAACACTGGACGATGTGTCAGTAAAGAGGTTGAGCCTCGAAGGGGGCTGGCCACCACTAGCGAAGACAACGGAATTTTTAAAGGGGGTGTTTGGAACAAGTTTTGATTATGGGTTTATGGTCTTTGGAAGGTAATTTTTAAAAACATAGGCAAAAATAATATAGACATTTTACCATTCAGTCCTTCAATTCATAACTTTCATCCATAAAAAGTTTTTTGGATCAAATCATTTTAAATATGTAAAGATTTCAATTTTGATCGGTGGAATTCATTCTTAAATTAGATATTTCAAAATTAAAATCGGCTTCATCATCATAATACTAATATATATATATATATAAGGAAAGTAGATTTCAATATTTGGTAGGTAGCTAATGTCATTTTTATACACAGTAGCTCCAGCTATAATTTACCAAAAAAGTTAAAATGCTGACGATTAATCCAAATTTCTTGTGCCACATTACCAATTTATATATATTAAACATATTCCACAATATAATATATGCTTTACCCACAAATAATATATATGCAATGTCATGGTCATATGGTACCCTCCTCAAAAAATCAGTCCAAATTACATCTATTTTTCTTTATTCTAAAACTAAATGATTATAAAACGGATGAACTTCTTCTGGTTTAATTTTTTTTTGTCTCCTCTTTTCTAAAATAGAAAAACAGTCTCGTTTTCTTTTTGTTCGTGTAAATTTGAATGAATAAAATGGTTACTTCATATTTATTTTGCATTTTAAGTTGAAAAAAAAAACAAGAATGTTGTTTATTTAAATTCGAAAAAATTGAAAACCAAACCCGAAACAAGAAACTTAAGTTTCATAATTTTGGAACTTTTACGAGAATGGAGAAACCATAATAGTTGTGGAACACTCCTATCTTTACAAATTAGAAACAAAAATATTGCCAAATAATTCAGTTAAGGATGAAAAACAACTGTCCAAAGTGATGTCGTTTGTTTGTCATTAAACGTTATATTATATATATATATACATATAATATATTGTCGCATCTTCACCGATTGTATTCAAGCTTGCAAGAATAAGTGGCATCTCCGCCGGCCGCCGCTTAACGTTTTTCTGGAACCACCATCCCTAATGCTCTGTAATATATAGCCCATTCAAATCATACCATCCAGGAATCAAACTCCCTTTCACCTTATAATTGAATCATTATCAGTATAATGGATTTTGTTCTCCGCCTTCTCTTCTCTCTCTTCCTTCTCATCTCTCTCTTCTCAGGTTTGGATTCTGTGCTTATTTGATTTACTTCACAGTCTCTGTTTGTTCTCTCTCTAATTTCTGTCATTTAGGACGAGGATCGGCTGGTGGCGTTTACAATCACCACCACCACCAGCGCCACCGTCTCCGGCCAACAAAGCTGTTTGTTTTCGGAGATTCTTATGTTGATACTGGCAACATTCTTATTCCCCTTTCCAGCGCTCAGTCATTTCCTTATGGAATCACTTTTCCACGAAAACCCAGTGGCCGTTTCTCCGATGGTCGTGTTCTCACTGATTTTGCAGGTAAACAAATCTCTGTCTCTCTCTCTGTTTCTGTCTCTGTTTCTGTCTCTGTCTCTGTCTCTGTTTTTGTCTCTCTCTGTCTCACCGATTTTCCGACCGTCCGGTTCTTACCAAAAAACAAATGGCTATCAAACGAGGCCTTAAAATGACCTTAATCTTGAAATGTAATGGAACGTATGGGAATAATTGAATGCAGCGAGATATGTCGGGTTGAAATCTCCGATCCCATTCAGTATCCGAAACAGAGTCGGGTTGAGAAGATTGAAAGAAACAGGAGTAAACTTTGCATTCGGGGGAACCGGCGTCTTCGACACATCGTTTCCTTTCCCAAACATGACAACCCAAATCGACTTCTTTCAACAGCTCCAACATGGCCATTCTCTGTCCACCAAAACAGACAACCAATTCTCCGCCGCACTCGTCTCTGTTTCCGGCAATGACTATTCCTTGGACATAATCACTAACGGCCCTAAACAGGTACCAATAAATTCCGTAATCTAATCCCAAGAGAATCACAAACTGAAATTCCGATGTGTTTTACAGGGATTGAAACCGTTCATAAACACGGTAGTGAACCAGATCATCGTGGATTTGAAACGCATTGGGGAGTTGGGAGTGAAGAAGATAGCGGTGACAGGGCTAGGCCCATTGGGATGTCTTCCGGCATTTACAGCTCCCTCGTCGTTCAAGAAATGCAATGAAAGCATAAACTCGTTCGTGAAGTTTCACAACTTTTTGCTGAAGAAAGCCGTGAAGAAGCTGAACCAAGAAACGAAGCATTCTTCGAAGGTGTTTGTTCTTGATGTTTATGGGGCGTTCATGTCCATAATTGAAGGGGGGAAGAGATACAACAATGGAGAGTTCAAGACGCCATTGAAGCCGTGTTGTTTTGGAGTGAAGAGTGGATTTAATTGTGGGAGTGTGGATGGAGAAGGGAAGAAGATGTTTGTGTTATGTAAAGATCCCAAGAAAGCTTTCTATTGGGATGCAGTTCATCCTACACAACAAGGATGGGCTGCTGCGTTTTCCGCTTTAAAAGCCTTTCGAAACCATTTTTAAGTTGAATTAGTGGAGAATGATGTTATGGCATTGTGCCACACCAACCATACCATACCAACATGTACTAGTAAACCTATCATCTTTTCAAGATACTTTTTTTAATGTTTTCGTGTTTGTATGTGGGACAAACACGTGGAAACCTCTCGTTGTAAACAAGTTTTAAAATTATGGAAGAATATCTGGAATAGCATCTAGAGAATCCGTTTGATTCTATCTTATCTGTTTTGTTTGAAGAAAGGAAGGATCGTAAAGAATAGATCTTTCTTTTAGTTGTTGAATCTCTTTTTGATGGATCAATGTGTGATAATCCAAATCTTTTTTACTAATGGAATCCAAAGAGTGATAAGAAAATTACTAGAATTAGTTACTTCAATAAAATTACTTAAAAATCTATCCTTGTTTACCAACCACACATTGTCTAACGAAATCTAATTGAAGAACGACAATACAAATTGGACTAAAATGGACAAATATTTACTCACTTACAATTATATTAAAACTGAACACTGAGTGAGTGTGTCACTGGAAGCCTGAGGTGGTGGGTGGTGGATTGTGAGAGAACAAAAAGATTATCCAATCTTATATATTTTTAATAAAAATATTAAAAATAAAAATTATTTAATATATATATATATATATATATATAATTTTTATTGGGAACTCAATCGGTGTGAATTTGGCACACAAAATAATTTACCTATTGTTATTGCAAACATAAATGAAGAATTTCATGGAAATAATGAAATGAGAGGCGAAAAGTCTTCTTCGTCCCTACCTTACCCGGTGAATATCCCTAGTTGGAACCTCGTATCCTCCTTTATATCTACTTTTCTTATTTACTTCTTTGCAATAATTTTTCAAAAGGTTAAATTAATAAAAAATACATATGTAATTTTCTTGATAACTTTCAAATTTTCAATAACATTTAAGCTTAAAAAAAATCTAAAAGAATATTTTAAAAGAAAAGTGTTTCTTTTAAAAATTAAAAAAATACAAACTTTTTTAAAAAAATTAAAAAAATACCAACTTTTTTTTAAAAAAATAAAAAAATACATGTTGAGGAGAGGAAGTCAGAGGTGAGAGAAACACACGCTCAAGATGAGAGAGAAGAAGGGGTGCAAAGCCCACGTGGCCCCAGATGGGCCGCGCATCCCATGCGGCCCATCTAGGGCCCACGGCCCAACGAGCGTGCGGCCGACCCGACGACCCGTCCGGGTAGTGGGCCGAACCGATAGCCCAACCCGGTTATGTCCAATTGGGCCGGTCTGACCTAGTTCTGTCCAATTGGACCCATTTTGTTCTTTTTGGAATTATTTGTGGAGCATAACAAATTTTAGAGTCTATTAAGGATGCAAATCCGAACAAAAAGTGTCACACTTTTGAAGCTTTACCTCGAAATCTTAGATTTAATTATATTTATAGTATATATGAAAGTATGATATGAGAAGTATGTCATAATAATTTGAACATGAAATAAGTTGGTTTGATGTATGTAAGAGCACGTTTAAACGTTATGATGCACATTTATCGAGAAACTCGATTATATATGTTTGAGCATAGAATGAGTTGAGACAACACATGTTGAATGTGATTATGTATGTTTACTGAAACGCGTACGCACAATCTTATGAAGTGAGATTCATGACTAAGTATTCATATTTAGATCACCATGTTACTCTATGTCATATGTTTATGATGTATGCGGTTATATGGGAACAATTAGGGTTCAACAACTAACCTCTAATCATGAACCTAACTTGATTGTTAGAAGTGACATGACATGATTTATGAAAAACGAGAAACTATAATTAATTATTATCAAACGAGTGGAAGTTTGAAAATAGAAAAACAAACTAGAAACAGAAAGATTACCAAACAATTAATTTAAGGATGAAAAACAACTGTCCAAAGTGATGTCGTTAAACATTACACGTATATATTGTCGAGTCTTCACCGATTGTATTCAAGCTTACAAGAATAAGCGGCATCTCCGCCGGCCACCGCTTAACGTTGTAAAAGCATACGATCCAGTAATCAAACGCCTGCAACAATTTCCCTTTCACCTTATAATTGAATCATTATCAATATGATGGATTTTGTTCTCCGCCTTCTCTTCTCTCTCCTCCTTCTCATCTCTCTCTTCTCAGGTTTGGATTCTGTGCTTATTTGATTTACTTCACAATTTCTGTTTCTTCTCTATCTAATTTCTGCCATTTAGGACGAGGATCGGCTGGTGGCGTTTACAATCACCACGACCAGCAGCTCCGCCACCGTTTCCGGCCAACAAAGCTGTTTGTTTTTGGGGATTCCTATGCTGATACCGGCATCATTCTTTTTCCCATTTCCCCCGGTATGCAATTTCCTTATGGAATTACTTTTCCAGGAAAACCCATTGGCCGTTTCTCCGATGGTCGTGTTCTCACTGATTTTGCAGGTAAACAAATCTCTGTCTCTGTTTTTGTCTCTCTCTGTCTCACCGGTTTTCCTACCGTCCTGTTCTTACCAAGAACAAATGGCTGTCAAGAAAGGCCTTAAAATGATATTAATCTCGAAATGTAATGGAACGTATGGGAATAATTGAATGCAGCGAGACATGTCGGGCTGAAATCTCCGATCCCATTCAGTGTCCGAAACAGAGTCGGGTTGAGAAGATTGAAAGAAACAGGAGTAAACTTTGCATTTGGGGGAACCGGCGTGTTCGACACAGAGTATCCTTTGCCAAACATGACAACCCAGATCGACTTCTTTCAACATCTCCGACAGGGCGATTCCATATTCACCAATACAGACGCCCAATCCTCTGTCGCACTCGTCTCTGCTTCCGGCAACGACTATTCCTTTTACTTCGCCATGAACACCTCTAGACAGGTATCAATCAATTCGGCCATCTAACCCCAAGAGAATCATAAACTGAAATTCCGATGTGTTTTACAGGGATTGAAACCGTTCATAATCTCGGTAGTGAATCAGATCATGGTCAATTTGAAACGCATTGGGGGGTTGGGAGTGAAGAAGATAGCGGTGACAGGGCTAGGCCCATTGGGATGTTTTCCGGTATTTACAGCGCCCTCATCATACAAGCAATGCAATGAAAGCATAAACTCGTTGGTGCAGTTTCACAACTTTTTGTTGAAGGAAGGTGTGAAGAAGCTGAACCAAGAAACGAAGCATTCTTCGAAGGTGTTTATTGTTGATGTGTATGGGGCGTTCATGTCCATAATCCAAGGGCGGAAGAGATACAACAATGGAGAGTTCAAGACGCCATTGAAGCCGTGTTGTTATGGAGTGGGGAGTGGATTTAGTTGCGGGAGTGTGGACGGAGAAGGGAAGAAGATGTTCGTGTTATGTGAGGATCGGAAAGCAGCTTTCTTTTGGGATTCGGTGCATCCTACGCAACAAGGATGGGCTGCTGCGTTTGCTGCTTTTAAAAGCTTTCGCAACCATTTTTAAATTGAAGCAATGGAGGGTAATATTATGGCATTGTGCCACATCCACCACACATCAATATGTACTAATAAACTCCTTCCATATCAAAATCAATTGTGTAATCTTTTCATCTTTTCTAATTTTTCCGGGTAATATTAATGGTGGTCGAAATTATTTGTGAGATCTCATATCGATTAGGAAGAGGAATGAAACATTGCTTATATCTTTCCTTAGTAGACATGTTTTAGAATTGTGAGATTAACGACAATTCGAAATGGACCAAAATGGACAATATCAACTAGTAGTGGGGTTGAATTGTTACAAATGGTATTAGAGCCAAACACCGTGTGGAGTGCCGGCGATAACGCTGACCCTTGAGTGGGTGGACTGTGAGAGAGGAACGATAGGAGCGTGAAGACCTCTCCCTAGCAAATACATTTTAAAATTGTGAGACTGACGATGATAAATAACGGAGCAAAGCAGACAATCTTTACTAGCGGTGAGCTTAGACTACTACAAATGGTTTTAAAGAGACATTGAACTTTGCACTAGTCTCAAAAATACTTCTAAATTTTTAAATTTTTAATAATAACTTTAAACTTTAAATTTAATTAATTATTATTTTATTTTTTTTAAATACCTCTACCCCTAAAGTTTTTAAAAATTTCCTTAATAATTTTAAAAGCTTAAAAAAAAAAAAAAAACACCTTAGAAACTTTTTTTTAAAGTAAAAAAAAAAAAAAATTGAAGTACGTAAGCTTTAAAACATAATATTAAAAAATTAAAAAATTTAGAGATAATTTAAGAGGTCATCCGTATATTAATTTTAATAAAATTTTAAAACTTTCTTTTTATAAAGATTGAGACGGTTAATATTGTTTTAAAATTTTATGTATATTTTAAACTTTTATGAATTTGAGAAGATTATATTTTAAACGTTTCTAATAATTTTCATCCCAAACTAATAATAACAACATTTTTAAAGAGTTTTTCTATTGAAAATTTTAAAAGTTTTTTTAAGAATATTTTTATTAATTTATCTTTTAAGTGATGTTATTAATTAACCGAACTTATTAGCCATCACAATCCACAACAGTGAGTCCAACAATGCTTCCTTTAGCCAGAAGCTTTATTAAATTCATAGAGAGATACAGGAATTGAGCGAGGCAAAGGTAGTAGAGAACATAAAAGGGTGACCCATTTGGTCTACACATGTTGTTTCATAGCGGAGATCAAGAAGGTAAGCGCCGCAATCCATCCCTGTTGAGTTGGGTGCACGTCGTCCCAAAAGAAGGCTGAGTTAGGATCTTCGCATAATACGTACTTCTTCTGCCCATCTTCATCCACACTCCCACAATAATACCCACGGCTTGTTCCATGGCAACATGGCTGCAATGGGGTTGCAAATTTTATGCTGCCTGCATCCATAAAACAAGACAAAAAAATTACGGTTTTCTTTACGACGCTCTTGTAACCGTCCAAGTCTATCCATTCTTTAAAATAGCTTATAAGCCTCTGGATATTTTTCATTACCCTTGAAGCAACATGAATTCTTAAGCACAGACCAAGGAAATAGTTCAGTGCAGGAGTATGAACGAGAGTTTAACTTTTGTTTATCTGTTTGTCATGGGTTTGGGTTTGGATTGTTACAATTGTGCCAACTAGGACACTGAGCTCCAAAAAGAGGTAGATTGTGAAACCCCACATCGGTTGGAGAGTAGAATGAAACATTCTTATAAGGGTGTAGAAATCTCTACCTAACACACGTAAACATGTTTTTCGTTTCATGTTTTCGAAGCGTTGGTTGGTAACCTTTTATCGAAAAATGTCTTGTTTTTTCGGGTTTACCTTGAGGGTCTCCTTTGTTTTGGATTATAGATAAAAATGCAGCATGGAGATCAAGAATGAAGAAAGGAGCATCATTTGTTTCCTTGTTCAGTTTGTCCACAGCTTGTCGTAACAAAAGGTTGTGGAAATCAACCAACAGAGCTAGACTTGAATTGCAGTGCTTGAAATCAGAACTGGATGTGATTTCAGGCACACATTGCAGCGGCCCTAATGCTGTTATACTTATTTTCTTCACTCCCAAGCTATGGATACGTTTCAAGTTCACTCCGATTTGCTTTACAACTCGTACGATGAGCGGTATGAAGCCCTACACCCAAACACCCACAAACACAAATTTAACAAAGAAGCACAACGTCCTAGACAATTCTTTATATAGACATAGAAGTATTAATGTCATAGATGAACTAAAGAACTTTATGAAATAAATAAATATCTATATACGGGATGCATGAACCTATTCTTTACCTTAATCGAGCCATTTGTGGAGAGGTAATAAGAATAGTCATTGCCAGAAACGGAGACAAGGGCAAAGGAGGAGTTAATGTCTTGAGGCGTAAACGTAGAGTTTGCAATAAGGTGTTGTAGGAAGTCAATTTGTGTGGTCATTGTTGGCAAATCATACCCCGTTTTGAACACACCGGTGCCACCATAAGCAAAGTTGACGCCATCTTTTGCCCCTTCCACTCCCTCCTTTTCCACAACTCTATATGGGATTGGAGATTTGAGGCCTAGAATTCTTGCTGCATATGTTCATTAGAGGTTACAACACAATTTACGCACAAACGTAAAGTGCGATGTGAGGCATGATCATTTACCTAGGTCAAAACACGACCATTTGAGAAACGTCCATCGGGATGCCCGGGAAAAGTAACCCCATATGGAGTCTTTGGATAATTTGGATCAGACGGACTGGTGTTGCCCGTGTCGACGTACAAATCCCCGAACACGAAGAGCTTGCTCAGTTGAAGATGGCGATGTTGATGATGGTGATGACGAGCTAACCCTAGCCCTGAAAAACAAAAACATGCACAGCTCTTCAACTCAAATTCAAAAAGCTTTAATTATCCAAAGCTAGAAACATCATGACACATTGATCTCCAACCTGAGAGAAGAGAGAGAGTGAAGAAGAGAGAGAAGAATGGAAGGAAGAGTTTTGTCGACTCCATTGACAAGGTTGGTCTTGTGTTTCACTTCATGCTCAAACCAGTTCAATGGCATCGTATAAATAGTGTTTTGGAGGTGCATCAACTGGTTAATCGAGTTGCGTCGAGCATATAACAAATCCATTAACTTTTCATATTATGATTAGCTAATAAATAAGTTGTCAACCTCACGACTTAATCAAACACAAAGTTTATAGACCAGACTTGCAATAATTTATGCTACAGAAGTAATAGAAGATATCTAATTTAAACATAGTGATGATATATCTTATCATTGTAGATATCAAATCTTGTTCGATGCCCTAATAGATGGGACTCATAGATTTTGGAATACACACACAATTATAGACCAAGTTTCACGTGTTATGAAAGAAGAAAGATGGGATAAAAAAACAACGGGAAGCAATATTGGCATACTATACGTATTGTCTATTGTGTAAAAGGACTTAGCTTTCTTGATTTTTTTCTGTCACATGATCCCAATCCATGTTCTTTATCGGTGGTTCCAAAATACACACACCGACACAATGGTTTATGTGGCTGAGATTCGTCCCTCTAACTTTCTATGATTGGTATCTTAGATACTTAGTCAAGTAAATTTTATGCAATGTTGTTTGTGTCGGTTGCTAGTTGCTACCGTTGAGCATTATTGAAAAGAGTAATTCTACCTTTACTACTTAAAAAAAAGATCATAAATTTATTAATAAGAAATAGATGAGATCTCCGAGTGGCACCAAAAGAAAAGTAAAGACATAAGTTTAAACCATTTGAGAAGAATTAATAGCAGTTCATTGATTTGGATTTCCCAAAAAAAAAACATAATTCAATGAAGATAGTATTCTTGATTATGAACCCTAGATCACTTTCTAAATTAGTAAATGTGGGACTTTCATCCGAATACTAAAAATTGATTGATGCAAACACGGAGGGGCACGGCGTCGATGGTGGAGAGGGCGAGGTTGTACGCCCTGGCCGAAGGGACGGCCCGCGTTGTCGTGCCTTGCCGACTTCGGGGTTGATTTCCGTCTCCATAGGCTCGCTAGCGATGGATTTGTTCAGGGACGGCCAAGCAATTGGGGCCTTTCAATGTCATGAAGAAGGGAATTTTGACGGCCCTGAATTGTCCACCGTCGAGAATGTTCACACATTTTCTGCACTAGGGATAGACATCTTGATTGGCAAGCTCGATGGAGCATATGTCAGACAGGTACATCATAGCCATGAGCGGTTACAAATGATATCAGAGCCAGACACTGAGTCGTGTGTCAGCAAGGACGTTGAGTCTTAATGGAGGGTGGACACTGAGTGTTGTACCAACAAAGATGCTGAGCCCCAAAGAGAGGTGGACATTAGGCAATGTGCCAACAAAGACTCTAAGCCTCGAAGGGGTGGATACTGTAGGCGGTGTACCAGCTAGGACACTAAATCCTGAAAGAAGTGGACACCTAACACCCAAAAGCAGGTGGATTGTGTGATCCTACCTCGATTAGATGCAGGTTTTGTTCAAAAGTGTTGTTCAACCAAACTATAGATGTAAATCTCGACAGCATAAGTGTTGGAGAGGCATTACAATGTCCATAGGATTCAATATCAAACATTAAAGCATGGAAAACTGGGGAATATCAGTTTAGTTTCCAGAGGAATTATCCTGACATCCATTGCAGAGTTCAGAACAGAAATTTACAGCAGGTGATTCAAAGTTTGAACCTTGTGCAGAGCCAACAGTTGGAGATAGATTAACAAACTCCAAGGCTTGTACTCTAAGTTCCACAGGATAGTCAGCTACACAGCCGATTCTCGGACCAGCTCCCGTTGTCCACTTCAGTGACAGCTGATGCCCCAATTGATATGATCTTGCTGTTTTCTTGGAGTTTATCCTCTCCAATATGGCACTCGTCCGGAGCTCGGCTCTCGGGCTCGGCAGACCCCCGGATAACGTCCTTTGGTATTCTGTTTTGGTTTCAGCTTTGGAAACTTCAGCTAATCGGCTTGATGATATGTAATTCTCATCGCTTCCACCTTCATGGCCATAGCTTTCAGGATCATCGCTGGCCTTGTAGACCTTAAGACACAACAGAGAGGTGAAATGTTGATCAGATTTATAATCCCAACAATTTTGGTGATCTCAGTAGTAACAAAATACCTTAACTTCATCGAGATTTACTCCATTCTCATGAAGAAAGGATAAAAAGCTGACAAGACTAGCGTTAGTTGGCCGATAATGTCCACTGTAAGCTGATATAGTCTAAACAACAACAAACCCATTAATATCAGCACACTTTTTAAGTCCATTGCTAGCAGATATTTTTCAATTTAACTCGTTACATATTACTGTCAATTTGGAAGAAGTTTTCACAGCTCTCTATGATGAATGTTTTGTTACCCTCTCCAACCAACGTGAGATCTCACAATCCACCTCTTTAGGAGGCTAGCGTCCTCGCTGGCACACCTTCCAGTGTCCGGCTCTGATACTATTTGTAACAGTTCAAGCCCACTACTAGTATATATTTAGCTAGTTACGTATCACCGTTAGCCTCACAATTTTAAAACGTGTCTACTATGGAGAGAATTTCTAAGAAAGGTTTCGATTCTTATGCCTAGAAGCTGACATTAGAGTGAATGACTTATGTCACTTCAACTAGAACACTACAAGCAACTACCTTAAGAACTCCGTCCTCAGTTTCCAGCCTTCCAGCAGCTAATGTAGCACCCCCAGCCAAGAAGCTAGAGTGATGGAACATTCCCTTTTTCTTCTGTAACACATTCATATACTGTTAATTATCCCATTGCTAGAAAAAAAAAACAGAACATGAAGACAATATTCGGAGAAATTCTCACTTCACCAGCATAAAGTTTCTTGGCAGTGCACATGACAAATATCCACTTCGCTCCAGGTGATGATTCTTTGTTTGTGTCCAAGAGTTTCCCAGATTGTTTGTGGATAATCTTGCCTTGCAGTATTATGTATTCATAATGTTCCCTCTCTTGCTGAAAACAACCTTGAATTATCAATGTGTTACTCAATCATTGCTGACCTTGTATGAAATTATGATAAATGAAACCACTTACCGGTCCAAGATACACAATACATTGCTGCCTGAGTTTCGATCTCGGGCACTCGTTTAGTTCTAAATCCTTTCCATCTCCTACATCCAGCCTGTACAGTGAAATGAGTGAAAACCTCTCCCTAGTAAACACGTTTAAGAAACCTTAAAGGAGATAATAGATTTAATGGAGAAATTGTTTCTGACCAATAGAAAAAGGGCTGACCAGCATCGCCTTGACACCATTGTTCGTAGTAGAGATGCAAGTTATGGCCATAGCGATGGCGTGGATCAATCTGCAAAGCCCAAAATTGTTTAGCAAAAGAGAGAGGAAAAAGAAGGGAATTGAATAATGGAGATGTAAATTACGGCTTCGATCCAATGCTGAAAGGCTAACTTTTGTGCTTTTCCATCTTTGGACAGTCCCTTACCCACCTTCAAACAAAACAAAACATGTTCAGAAAAATTTGAGCCGAAGCATCTAACATGGCTTCCTCTTAGATTCATACCTTGGAAGCATTTAACATGATTCGGGTCCATCGGGAAGCTGCAGTTTCAGGTTTAGAGAAATTGAAGAAAGAAATTGTACTGTGATTCAGTCTCGCATAGTCTAAGGCTCTCCACCTTCAACATCACAAAAAAAAACACCATTTTCCACGATCAAAACAACAAAACTCAAATACCCAGAAGCTAAAATGTGTGTTACCAGAGTTCTTCTGCCACAACGGCGGAATCAGCCAATCTCCGGCGAGTACGATAGCTCCTGTAAACCTTCTGCAGTTTCAAGGCAGCCGTCGGCTCCGTCAGTACGGCGAAGGGAGGAAAGGAGTCACCGGCGTTTGATGTGGAGGGAAATGCAATTCGAAGGGAGGTGGAATCATTGCCGGAAATGGAACCGGCGGGGGTCGTGGAATGGAGCGTTTCCATTCGGGGTGAGGAAAACGGGAGGCCCATGCGGTTTAAGGAGTAGGAAAATGGAGGAGTGGTGGTGGTTGGGACACGGTCGAAGGCGGTGGAGAAGCTCTGAGTTTGAACCTCCATTGAAAGAGTGTAGGAGAGCTGGAGGAGCTGCAATGGAAGAAAGAAAGCCTGGATTTTAAGGCAAGGCTATTTAGAGAGGGTGTTCCACTCTTTGCTTTGCATTTATTTCAATGGCCCAATACTCTACATGGTTTCTTCATTATTTACTCTAAAACTATTTCACAACATAGAGAAATGTCGACTAATCATATACTCATGTGATACATTTTGGGACATTTTAGCATTGGTGGATGTAGAGATCATTGTAGTGAACAGTCATACAACCGTATATTGATACAACAAAAAATATCAACAGATTTAGAATGGACATGGAACCATGGACACCACGTCCTAAACAAACATCCTGACATGTGGCCATAGACAATATGTCTTGTCCAAGCAAGACCGTGGCACAGAGCATATAAAGAAGTGATATCAAGTGTTCCACTTTTGAGTGCACGAAATGTCTTTTAGTCTAGTAAATAATATTGAATCAGTTCTAACTATGCTCAAATCGTTTTAAATTTTATATCTAATAGATTTTTATCAACACGGCAAGAATGATTTGAAGGGGCATTAGTGAGTCCCTCACTTGGCTGTCCCAAATATGGGCTGTTTTATTTCTATACCACACCCCTTGCCTCTTCACCAACCCACACAAATAAATATACTCCACATTATCTTCATTTCTCACATTTTTTTTTCTTTTTTTTTTTTTCCTTTTCACGTCGGCTTCGTTTTTATTTAGAGTAAATATTAATTTAAATTCTAATTTTTTTCCATAAAATTTTTGTTAGAAAAAATTTAATAAGTAAAAAGAAAAATATAAAATAAATTTAAATTGATTTATTTAGAAAAGTTTTAAAATTTTAATTCATATAGTGATTAATGGAACATTAGATTATAAAAAGCTAAATATGAAGTCGACCCCTCACTTTTATGTCATCCTAGAATTTTGTAACACATTAAATAATAATAAATTTCAATTTAAAAAAATATATTTTTATTTTTTATTTTTAAATTTAAGGATGTTATAAAAAACTTAGAGAATATGTTTCCGACCAAGTAAAAAGAACAACTATTTTTATTAATTTATTAATTTAATTCATTAAAATATTATAATGTAATAATAAGAACGCCTTTAAAAATCCAATATAAAAACATTGTATATAAATGGTATTTAGATAATTAATATAATTTGCGACCCATCCAATCAAATTCCACCATATCATATGGAATTGTTTAATACTTGCATGGTGTTATAATATTGCACACATAAATCAAATTTGTGTCCCCTCTCAATTATTTACGAGAGAAGCCATCAAAATTCAATTTAATCAATTTAAACTATATATCATAATAATAATTGAAGCAATTTTAACCTTATATTATTAAAGTTACTGTTTATTTAATATCAAAATACATCATTAGAATTATTTATACAATCTATTTTTATATTACAAATGATCTTACAAATGTCCTTAAATAAAAAATTAAAATTTTAAAGTTTACAAATAAAAAAATATATATTTTTAATTTAAATAGTTCAAAATATGATGTTTTTTAAATATGTGGGAAAATTTAGAGAGTAGAACCAAGTTGGAAAGTTGAAATATTTTAAGGTAATTTTTTTAACCTAAATTTGAATTTAATATATAAGGAAATTCCAAACACAATATATAAATGAAAATCCAATTTTAAAAAACAAATCATTTGGAAAATATTTAAAGTAATACGAATAACGACTAATGAGGTAACCTAATTTTAAATTTTATTGAAAAATATATGGACGAATAATAAATGACCAAAATGGAATAAAATTCCAAGTTTGATAAATTTGGAAAATATTTCAAATGAATGGAGAAATCAAAATTATGGAACAGCCGGGAATAAGGAAAATTGCTCCAAATTTCCCCTTAAAATTCTTTCGTATAACTTAGTTTCTTTCTCCAATTCCACCATTCGTCTTGTGCGATTGTTTTCTCCTCCGTCTCCGGTATGTTCTTCGTCATCTTCATCCATTCTGTTCATGTTTTAGTTCCATTTGGCAGAGTGTTTTAACACGGTTTGATTCGAGCTTCCTTTTCTTTTTAGAGATTTTCAGAGATGAAGATAGTTGCGGCGTATTTGTTGGCTGATTTGGGCGGAAATACTCACCCTTCCGTTGAGGATATCAACGCCATTCTCGGCTCTGGTATGATATTTAGGGTTTTGTTTTGATTCGATTCCGTACTCATTAGAGTAGATTACTTGGATTTCGCGTTTAGTCTGGTTGATTACCTTAAATGCAGTTCATAAATTGAAAATTTGAATTGTTAATCGGCGTACACACGCAGTTGGAATAGAGGTTGAAGATGAAAGAATAGAGTTGCTTCTTTCCCAAGTTAAGGGCAAAGATTTAGCAGAGGTCATAGCCAGTGGAAGGGAGAAGATGGCATCAATCTCTTCTGTTGGTTCTGCTATTCCTGTAGCTGCCGGCGGCGGTGGCGCTGCTTCTGCTGCTGTGGCTGCCGAGCCTGTGAAAGAGGACAAGAAAGAAGTTGAAGAGGAGTCGGAGGATGTAAGTATCACAAATTCATTCAGAATCCTAATTAAACTTGTTTCATTCTTCTAACCAATATCCTTATTTGTTTCTTGCTTGTATGATACAGGAGATGTGCTTCAGTCTCTTTGATTAACCAGATTTTGCGGATTCATTCAAACTGCTATCTAAAGACCTGGATTTTTGGCTACTTAATTATGATATAGGATGAACTATTATGACCAGTTATAGTTATAGACCCATTTAGTTTTATGTGAATTTATCCTTCTTGCATCCACAGTTTACCAATTCCTGGCTAATTTATGTCTCTTGTATGGCATGTTCTTCAATATCTCTATTCTAAGTTTTGAAGTGTTTTGTCCATTTTCTTTCACCCCTAGCTTAAGAACATCTCTCTGATTGGATAGCCCATAACTTGTAAGAAACTTGCTTTAATTTATCTATGCTTAAATTTATGTATGATTGGATAGCCCCTAGCTCAAAAAGGTCTCGACTGATGGTTGAATCCAAGCAACTTTGCAAAGAGGTGGACGCTCATAAGGAGCCACCTGACAGTAGGGAATATGCACAGAGCATTGATGCCAAACCAAATGGGTATTGAACGGAGTCATAAAGGGAGGCGGGCAGTGGGAAGGCGGCACCAAAGCAGAGACACTGAAAAGAGGGAGACATCCCATCTCTCTGTTTGAAACTTTTTTGTTGGTGAAGCTGACAAGTTCACAACCATCTCTTTCATGGTGGTCATAGCATCTGAAAGCGATGGCTTCTTGTGCCTCATTATTCTTCTATCTCTTTCTGTATTATTGGGTTTTTGTTTCACGTAACATATTTATAACTATCTTATAATAATTAATTCACTCACCTACCTAAATCAACCATAAAAACTAAAATTCCTTCTCTTCTCACCCAGCCATCTCATCATAATTAGCCCATGATTCAAAATGTTTTCTTTTCAATTGATGTGGAATCTCACCGTCTACTTAAGTTAAATATACTTAATTTTTTAACTTTTGTATTGAAATATTGAAACCTTCACGTTTTCCCATATATGATTGGTTATTTTCACAAAATATTAAATAGGTAAAAGAATTTATTGAATATAAAATTAAAAAATAAAAGTAATATGGAGAAATAAAAAAAATAAATAGAGAGAAATAGAAAAATAGGAGGCAGCCAAAAGTGGTCAGAAGAAGAAAATGTGAATTGTCTCCTCCTTGTCATCTTACTTCTAATTTTATCATTTTTCAAATTGGATCCTATGCTTCATTCCCTTAATATATGTCCATATATTTATATGTCTCACAATAATTAAAAAATATAAATTAAAAAAAAAAATGAAAATTTGAGATTTTAATTGTAAATTATTATATTAAAGTATTTTAAAAAAAGATAATATTATTAATTTATTATATTTGGGTGTTGCATTAAACCCAGTGGGCAGTGCTCATAAGGTGCCAAAGCGGGGCCTTATCTCTCCTAAGTACTCAGAGGCAGTCTCAGAATTCTGAACCCAAAGATACTATTTTACTCTCTCTTTCTCTCTCTAGACCTCCGTCTCTCCCTTCTTCTCTCCGCCCACCGCTCCGGACCCCAAACTAGGTTTTCCCAAGTGTTTATGCGTTTATCTCCTTTGCATTCTTCACAATCCTATCACAGGCCTCCATTGCGCCCTTTCAATTCACTTCGCCTCAGGTAAATGCCGTCTCTGATCTCACTCTCCCTCCTTTTTTTTTTTTTCTTTTGATTTTGATTCCTTGTGGAATTCTTTCTGGATTTTGCTATCCCAGCTATGTTTTTGAGCTCTCGCTCCGGGATGCTGAGGTTTCTGTTTCTTTTTCGCTGTTTTTGTCAAATCCCATTTTCCTGCTGTCCCTTTGTTGTTATGTTAATTGTGTTCGTTTTTATCACTCTACAATGTCTTTTAACGTATTGCTGTAGAATCTGAGATGGGATTTTGGTGGTTTGAAGTTGGAGTGGTGGGTTTGTGGTTTATTCGGTCCATCCGTTTTTGAAAGCGATTAATATTTTCGTCATCTGTTGCTGGGATTCATTGATGTTTCTAAATCTTGAGCTGTTTTATGAATGCGTCTTCGACCATTTCTTGGACGATGCAAGTGACTATTGGGACAAATGGTATAATGGAAATAATGGATGCTAATCATTACCCAGTCGGCAGTTAATTGTACTTCCGTTATTTCTTATCTCTTCATGTCTCCTCTTAATTCGTATCTTGATGTTTTTGTGATGATTAGATGGCCTGAATGTCGCAGCTTATGGCGAGTGGAAGAGCGGATAATCAATGTTCTAGTGATGCAAAGAACAGCTCAAGAGTGTGAGACTCATTATCTAAGGGCTTCCGTATAGCGAGTGAAGTTAGTAATGGGAACTGGTACTTGTGAAATTGTTGAAGCAAGGGAAGAAATCAAACCTGTTCAAAGTAAGGTAGGTTCTCATCATTCAGATTTCTTATCAAATAAAGATCGAAAACTTTCTGCATTGAAAATTGGATTCAAAGGATCTCTAGAAGATGATATCAATCAGATTTTTGAGTCAATTAGTATTAAAAATGCATCCAAGAGCTTAGGTCATTCGCAAGTAGAGGTAAATGCACTGAGAAAAAGTACACTAAAGAAGCCGATCACTGTTGGCATACCTCGCTCACCAGGTATTGGTACTTCCGATTCTGGTAGTCTGAAGCAAGCACTTAGGGAACTATGCGTTTCGAAGGCGTCTGAAATGGCTGCTATGAAGAGAGCATCAAAATTGTCTAGCTCTTCAAGAATCTCCGAAGCGGGGCGGATCAAGACATTGTATAATTCAGTTATGGTTGATGCTACTGAGTCAGGCTCTTCTTCACGCGTGGTTGAAATATCTCTGGTTCAAGAGGAAAAGAAATTGAACTTTGAGAAGAGACTTGAGCATGTCCAGGCATCTGCTGTTAAATCTCCAGTTGAAAGTGCTCGTTCCTTTCAGTTGCCTGTTGCCAAAACAAAAAATTATACCGAGGTTGTTACTGTGGAACAAAACATCAATACCACGTCATCAAGGAAAGTTGGATCTCAAACATTAAGGGCAGAGCTGGAGAAGGAAGAGGAGTCCGTTACCCCACCATCGTTATCTTCCTGCACTATTGGCAAGGTTTTAGAGAAGGAGAAGAAAATTCTTGCTGGAAGCAGGGTAGCAGATAAAGCGGCATTGTCCAAGGCAAGTCGAAAAGGTAGGTTGCAAACTGCATCTTCATCTAAGTTGGGTAGTGGCAATAAGGTTACCAAGTTATCTAGAAGTGCCTCCCGTTCGGTTAAACCCATTATTAGGAACAAGGGGCTGGCTAAGAAGAAAGTCAAACAGGATTTTAGTTCTCCAACATGTAGTTCAAGCACATACAATGCAGTCAATGATGATATGGATCCTAGCAATAGGAAGTTGATATGTGAGCGATGCCACTGTGCATTGAATGGTGCAGCTAAAGACTCAATGAAGGGCTCTGCATCCCAGTTTAGTGGTCTTGACAGTGGTGTAAGCATGACGAATTCGAAATCAGGCGTTAGCAAATCAGGCATTAGCAAATCAGGCATCTACGGGGATGGTAAGGCTTCTGATGTTAGAGTAAAAAGAAATACAAGGGCACGAGATAAGGGCGAATTTTCTCAAAGCTCAAAAAGTAGTCAAGGTGATTACAGTAGCAGTACGACGAGTATTATAAGCGATGACAGCAATGGGCGTGGATCCAGTAATGGCAACAGACCTCATATGTCGAAAGACGTTAGGTGGGAAGCCATACGCCGCGCACAATTGGAGCATGGGGTCCTCAGCTTGCGGCATTTCAATCTTTTAAAGAAGCTTGGTTGTGGGGACATCGGAACCGTGTATCTTGCTGAGCTAACTGGCACTAGTTGCTTATTTGCCATCAAGGTCATGGACAATGAGTTTCTAGCAAGACGGAAGAAAATGCCGAGAGCGCAAACTGAGAGAGAAATACTTAGAATGCTAGATCATCCCTTCCTTCCAACACTTTATGTTCAATTTACTTCTGATAATTTATCATGTCTCGTCATGGAGTATTGTCCTGGAGGAGATCTTCATGTTCTTAGGCAGAAGCAGCTAAGCAGAGTTTTTCCTGAACCCGCAGCAAGGTAAGGTTATATGATATTTGATTTCACCTTCTGCACCTTGTTTGCTGACATTAAATAGGCTCAAAAAGCACACGAAAAATATACAAATTTGAGGCAAATGCTGCTCGTGTATACTTATTCTGTACTTGTATGCGTATTACTATAATTTTCGTTGCTAATCTGGAATATATATTCATTGCATTGATGATCGGTCACAGAATTTGGCTAAAACCGCTCGTCTATACCATTTTGCAGATTTTATGTTGCTGAGGTTCTCCTTGCTTTGGAGTACTTGCACATGCTTGGCGTTATTTATCGAGATTTAAAACCTGAGAACATTCTTGTCAGGGAAGATGGTCACATAATGCTTACCGACTTTGACCTGTCGTTTAGGTGCACGGTCAGTCCAACGCTCCTGAAGTCGTCATCCTTCAATGCAGACTTGGTGAAAACCTCAGTTCCAGGTAGAGATTCTAGTTGTGTTGAGCCATTTTGCATTGGACCATCATGTCAAGTCCCATGCTTCAGCCCCAGGTTCTTACCTGCTACAGCCAAAGCAAGGAAGTCAAAACCTGACCTCACAACACAGTTCAGGTCATTGCCCCAGCTCATTGCCGAACCCACCGATGCACGATCAAATTCCTTCGTTGGCACTCACGAATATTTGGCTCCCGAGATCATTAAAGGAGAGGGTCACGGAGCTGCAGTCGATTGGTGGACGTTTGGTGTTTTTCTATATGAGCTTCTATATGGTAGAACCCCATTCAAGGGTTCAAACAATGAAGAAACATTAACCAATGTAATCATTCAGAGCCTCAGTTTTCCCGACAGCCCGATCGTTAGTTTCCAAGCAAGAGATCTTATCCGAGGACTGCTGGTAAAAGAACCCGAAAATCGATTCGGGACAGAGAAAGGGGCTGCAGAAATCAAACAGCACCCGTTCTTCGAGGGGCTAAACTGGGCATTGATCCGTTGTGCAATCCCTCCAGAACTTCCTGACTCATGTGATATGGATATTACAAGCATGATTACTCAACAAAACAAGTTCAGGTTTTTGGAAAGCAAGTCCACTGGAGAACACCTCGAGTTCGAACTGTTTTAGAACTGGCCGACCTTGCTGTAATTAATATTGTAGCGTATGATGTAAATTTGGTCGAGAATATTTGTATCAATGCTTACCATTTTCATGGCTTCATCAAAGGTCTCTGAGTTCAATATTATGTATCAACATATCCTCTTGGTAGCCTCTGAATACAGGAAATCTTATGCCAACTTAGGGTGAGATATATATATATATTAAGCTTCATGGATGGATCGAACTCAGAATGTGGAGGGTCAATTTGCTTC